AAAACAGAAGCCCTTAAATGCCAGAAATAGCATCACAGTTTGACATTCGATTCAACCTTGCAAACTTTGAGGGAACGCCATGGACACGCCCTTTAACATACAGTCACAAATAGCACAACTTTTAATCAGCACCATTTTTTGACTGTACTGACAAATTTTGAAGCAGATCTGAAAAATTCTCTAGGAGGAGTTCGTTAAAATACAATGCAAAAAAACGCTGAAAATCATTGCAAAATGCCGGAAATGGCATCACAGTTTGACATTCGATTCAACGTGGCCAACTTTGAGGCCACGCCACGTACACGCCCTTCAACGTACATGCAGAAATAGCACAACTTTTAATCAGCACCATTTTCTGACTGTACAAATTTTGAAGCATATCCGATAAATTCCCTAGGAGGAGTTCGTTCAAATACAACGCGAAAAGTTCGCCGAAAGTGAAACTTTAAATCAAAATGGCCAACTTCCTGTGGGGTTTCGGATATGGGTCCAAGAGGCTTTTTTGTACGTCTGGGCATGTTACACGTGCCTACCGAGTTTCGTACATATCGGTGAAACGTGGCGCCGGGGCTGCTGTTTTTTTATCCTGTAGGGGGCGCTACACACATGACAAAGATGATTTTTGGTATGTGAGCTTCAGGCACTACTCTACACGTGCCCTATGAATTTCATATTCATAACTATTACGGTCTCCGCACAGTGATTTATCATGCCAAAAGAGCGCCACCTGGTGCCGTATTTTTTCTGTCCTTTTTAAGTCAGCCTCAGGGAGCCATGGGGAAGCATCGTACCAAGTTTCATCTTAATCACACATACTATTGTAGTGATATAAACGTCTTAATTTTAAAGAGCGCCACCTAGTGGTGGCCTGAAATTGTGCACAATGCTTAAGGAAGACATGTGGAACTATTGACCCAAGTTTGGTGTCAATCGGACATACCAATGTGGAGAAATGGTTCACTTCCTTTTTTGATGAAAAATCAACAGGAGGTGCTAATTTTATAGCGAGCTTATTGTTTGAAATTTCAAAAATGTTCAAATTACTCTTTTTGCCAGGGCGGTCCCCAGGTGCTAGGTGAAAAATTTTGTGCGAATCGGACAAAGCGTGTGGGGGGAACACGAAAAAGTAGTTTAAGGACATTTCGTACTCTAACGAAAAAAAATTATAGGCGGAAGTGGGCGTGGCCTATATAGGAAGATTCAGCTCCATTCACCACGTGGATATAAGTTTTTTAATAAGTTTTTTGAATGTATGATAAACTATGCAGGAGTTATTAGCCAAAACTTACTTTTCATGATAGTAGTGCCACCTAGTGGCGGACCTGAAAGCGACGCATAGAATATAAAATTTTTCACCAGGCCTGACCACTTTGCCAAATAAAATTGACTTTTAGTATATGTTCAGGGGGGCAAAAACGCAATCAAAAGTGCTAAAAATAATAATAATAATAGGGAAGAAGAAACGAAGCAAAAACAATAGGGACCTCCAGCGGTCGCTTGCGAGGTCCCTAACACACGGAGGCGGACGTCCGGGGCGCCATCTTGTTACTGAGATGAAGCACTTTTACTCCAGTTTAGAAACTACATTTTGAGAAACTGAATTTGAAAACTGACCTCCAAACTGAATTTGGAACTCAACCAAAGTTGAAATAATATGCCCAAGTTGAAAACAATATCATCGTTTTTTTATTTTTAGGGACCTCGCGAGCGACCGCTGGAGGTCCCTATTGTTTTTGCTTCGTTTCTTCTTACCTATTAATATTATTATTATTTTTAGCACTTTTGATTGCATTTTTGCCCCCCTGAACATATACGAAAAGTCAATTTTATTTTGCAAAGTGGTCAGGCCTGGTGAAACATTTGATATTCAATTCAATTCAATTGTTTGTGTTTGTAGCGCCCCCTACAGGATAAAAAAACAGCAGCCCCGGCACCACATTTCACCGATATGTACGAAAAAGCCTCTTGGACCCATACCCGAAACCCCACAGGAAGTCAGCCATTTTGATTTTCATTTTCACTTTCGGCGAACTTTTCGCGTTGTATTTGAACAAACTCCTCCTAGGGAATTTATTGGATCTACTTCAAAATTGGTTAGTACAGTCAAAAAATGGTGCTGATTAAAAGTTCTGCTATTTGTGCATGTACATTAAAGGGCGTGTCCGTGGCATCAGAGTCAGCCATTTTGATTTATTGGGTCATTTTCTGTGATTTTTTGCGTTGTATTTGAACGAACTCCTCCTAGGGAATTTATCGGATCTGCTTCAAAATTGGTCAGTCCCGTCGAAAAATGGTCCTGATTAAAAGTTGTGCTATTTGTGCATGTACGTTGAAGGGCGTGTCCGTGGCGTGCCCTCAAAGTTGGCCAGGTTGAATCGAATGTCAAACTGTGATGCCATTTCCGGCATTTAAGGGCTTCTGTTTTAACTAACTCCTCCTACAGATTTTATCAGATTGACTTGAAATTCGATCACTGCAATCTTAACACATTGGTTATCAAAAGTTGTGCTATTTGTGACTGTACGTTGAACGGCGTGTCTGTGGCGTGAGGTCAAAGTTGGCCACTTTGAATTCTGTCATCATACAAACTGAAAAGTTGAGCTATTTGTGACTGTACATCAAACCGCATGCCAGTGACAACTTGTCGATTTCAGCAGATTCGCCATAAAATAGAGCTCATAACTTCAGTGTGCAATGTACAATCTCCAATAAACTTCATATATTCTGAAACAGTTTTGTCGTGAACACGTCCTCATAACTTCAGCGTACATTGTCCAATCTCAATGAAACTTCACGTGTTTGATAACAGTCTCGCCTTGAACATATCTACATGACAACATTCAGACATAGTGATAGTGGCACCTACTGGCAACAGGAAGTAAGCGCTGCTTGGCGATTTTGAGCTGATTTACGTGAGATTTTCATGTTGTGTTCCGTACGTGTTCCGACGGCACGTGACGCGGCCGCAGCACGCCCCGAGTTGCGTGGGTGAACACTACAGTATATGCCAATGTTGTTTTCAATAAAAACAACATTTGCACAAAACAAGCCGATCCACTTTTTCATGTTAAGAGCATTAAAATGAGAAAAAATAATGGGAGAAAAAGAAATCAAGGGACATTTAGAATAGATAAAAATGTGCGATTAATTGCAATTAATTGCGAGTTAACTATGACATTAATGCGATTATTCGCGATTAAATATTTTAATAGTTTGACAGCAACAAATATACATTTAATAATTACATTACTTAATATGCAGATGTTGCAATCACACACACAAAGTAAACCAGTTTCTGTCAGTTCTACGCAACCTTAAAGTTTTGTTCAGTCACTGAAACTGAAACTGAAACATCTGACCAATAATTGCAGTTTTCTGCACAAAATGTCGAGCCATATGTTACCAAACTCACTTCACATTTACCCTGTCCAAACAGTGCGATTTTATTCTCACTTGAATAAGAATATTCAATCTTAGCAAAATAATGCACAAAAATATGCATGCAACACAGTTTTTTTTTTAAAAGCTGCCATGAAATGAGGCATTTTTAGGCCGCAATAATCCAATTTAAAAAAACATTTTGTCTGTAAATAAATAATAAATTCTCATAGTGGCACCTTATCATCACAGATGATTTAAGGCCACTTGCTAAGAAAGGCTAGGTAAAATAACATTGAGGGGGGTGTCAGTTATTCTGTGTAGTGGCTGAAATAATATGCACGTTGAAAAGTTGAAAACAGTTTTAGAAAAAAAAAGATACATTTTCAATCTGTGAAATACAATTTGAAATGTTGCATTCAATGTTCAGTTGAACATTTTAAATTGAAAAAGTTTAGATCCACACTGATATACTGGTCACATGTGCTCATGAGGTCATGAAATGTTAACAGTTAAATGATAAGGGGAAAATTTGTTAATTGAATAACAAAAACCATACCATCATAATTTAAAGACTGAATAAGAAAATGGAATTTGATCATGTTCTTTTTTATGATTTGTATTAACATGTGAAAATGTAAATTTGTCTACTTTGTCTGTATTTGAAGGTGGGGTCTACAGTAGACTGTATATCAACTTGTCATTGCTTTCTGTTCAGCTTTCCTCTGATAGTTGCATCCTGTCCATCAGACTGATGCTGGCTAAGCCAAGCTGCTGCCAAACCCATCATTAAATTTAGTCTGGTCATCACAACACTGACAAATTCCAATGTGGACAGTTGCATACAGCATACCTCGGTGATGTGTTGTTGGACCACGTCCCAGTGTAGTCCAGATGGAAAGTGAAGGTTTGTCTCCCTGTAGCTTTCCGCTGTTCATACTGGTGACAAAACATCAGATCTGTGTCATCATGTGAGCTAAAAAACATTATAAATATGAATAATAATCAGTTTGACTTTTTCTCAATTTATTTTATATTAAGAATGGATCAAATGACTAAAGTGAAAGGGTTGCTCTTTGTGACGAACTCTTTTTGAATCATCCAACTGCAGCTCCCCGCAGCTTTCTACAGAGCACAATTAAACTCTGTTCATTGGTTTTCACTTTTACGGATCGGTTAAATGCAAATTACATTTTTGTCTTTTACAAATTAAACATCAAAAAGGTAAAAAATAATTGACAGAATGTTAAAAATAAGCAAAAACACAAAATAAATAGAAATGGGGAGGTGCTTATGAATTCACTATGAAAAGATTAAATAATGACAATGACAGCAGTTATGTATGAGATTTAAAGCTTAAATTCAACATAGTTTCTCTAGTTTTAAGTGCTATATGACTGTAAGACTGAACTCTTAACCACTAAATATAACTGGGAGGCTGTAGGTTTTTCCAGTTTGGGAGAATTACCCTGCATGCTAATAACATTATAAAGGTAACAATCGTGTTAGCTTCTCTGGCACTCCTATCCTATGGTCCTATCACCTGCCATTTTGGGTACATGTTTTCCTGACTGTATGCTTATGTAATAACTATGTGTGTATGTATTTTTCTGCGTGTGTAGGTATTGGTCTGACAGAGTCCCTGGCCATGACGCCTGCTGCCTCAGTGTCTGGACTTTACTTCTCCAACCTTCAGGCCTCATATTTCGCTGTGGGAAAGATCACCAAGGAGCAGGTTCAGCCAACAATCAACTTCTTTAGAAAATGTTCATGTTAAAGAAATTTCCAATTTGTGCAACAAGTCCCAATTATTATAACATCACACTGACATGTAGATGTTGGTGTTTTCTGAATTCTTGTGACACAACTGCCTAACAGATCACTTCCTCTTTCTTTGGAGACATTTTAGACAAGGCTTGCAGACTGATTAAAAAAATTAATGAAATAAAAATCCAGGAGGACAATATTATAACCTTGTATGAATACAATAATTGAAATATTATTAGTGCTGTCAGTTTAACGCATTATTAACGACGTTAACGCAAACCCATTTTAACAGCGTCAATTTTTTTATCGCAACTTTGTTGTTTTTTTCACATGCTGCTGCAACAACTAGTAATGTTAGAAAAACTACAACACCACACCGGATCTAGCTAGACCAGAAACAAAACAACAGGCACGCCGCACACACTTGTTTAAGAGTAGTAGACGTTACGTTTTGAGTGGATGGCGAGCGCGAGAATAAAAACAACATTTGCACAAAACAAGCCGATCCACTTTTCCATGTTAAGAGCATTAAAATGAGAAAAAATAATGGGAAAAAAAGAAATCAAGGGACATTTAGAATAGATAAAATAGGCGATTAATTGCGAGTTAACTATGACATTAATGCGATTATTCGCGATTAAATATTTTAATCGTTTGACAGCAGCAAATATTATACATTTAATAATTACAATACTTAATATGCAGATGTTGCAATCACACACACAAAGTAAACCAGTTTCTGTCAGTTCTGCGCAGCCTTACAGTTTTGTTCAGTCACTGAAACCGAAACTGAAACATCTGACCAATAATTGCAGTTTCCTGCACAAAATGTCGAGCCATATGTTACCAAACTCACTTCACATTCACCCTGTCCAAACAGTGCAATTTTATTCACACTGGAATGAGAATATTCAATCTAAGCAAAATAATCCATAAAAACATGCATGCAACACAGTTTTTTTAGAAAAGCTGCCATGAAATGAGGCATTTTTAGGCCGCAACCATCCAATTTAAAGAAACATTTTGTCTGTAAATAAATAATACATTCTCAGATAGTGGCACCTTACCATCACAGATGATTTAAGGCCACTTGCTAAGAAAGGCTAAAAAACATTGAGGGGGGTGTCAGTCGGTCTGTATAGTGGCTAAAATAACACACTATTGTACATTGTGCAACACCCTCTTTTGATGATGCATCTGATTACATCATACATACATACATTGCATCTCACAAATAACAGAGGATCCAGACTGGGATTTAAGTTGTAACAAATGTGTTGATGTAGGATTTGTAACAGAGAGGAATCAGGAGACAAAATCAGGCTGACTTTGTGTTTTCTGTCCTGTTTTTGTCTGCAGGTGGAGGACTATTCCAGGAGGAAGGAGATGAGTGTGGAAGAGGTGGAGAGATGGCTGGCTCCCATACTGGGTTATGACAGTGAGGCATAGAGGGTGACCGTTCCAGCAGTAAACTGGACCACAGAGGGATCAGCACAGGCCACAACGGGCACAGAATCAGGTTTACAGTCCAATCATTCTGGACCATCCACTGTGGCTGCTTACACTGACAGGCAAACTTTGTGCATCAGTGTTGATGTTTCCTTAAAGAGATAGTTGAACATATTGGAAATTTGCATTCTTTCTTAGAATGAAATGAGGAGTTTAATAGAAGTCTAATTTCTGTGTGTACAGAGCTGGGGACAGGATGTGCTTAGCTTAGCCTAGCTTAACATACAGACTGGAAGCAGGGGGAAGCAGCTAGCCTGTCTCAGCCAAAGTTAAAAAACACACCTACCAACGGCTCTAAAGCTCACTGATTAACATGCTGTATGTTTATCCATCAAAACTACTACTACTACAGGCAGAGATGCTACACAGATGTACTACCAATGAACACCCTTTGGTACCATTGTGCTTGTACAGAGACCAAAACTAAACTTGGCAACATCACTATGACAACCATTGACATATGTAAAGATGGAAGTTGCATCTCCACTTCCTCGTACTTTCCAAAAAAAACTGCAATATTGAAGTCCTGCCCATACCCCTAGCTGACTCAATCACAAGCAGGGCTCAGGTGTCAGTCATCATAACCCTTTTTATAGCTTCAAATAACGAATTGAATGTATCAGAAAAATAAACACTTGAACATATATTGGCATGATAAGAACTACCTAAAATGACAGAAACCATCTTTTAAAGAGAATAATTTGACGTGTAGTATTAGTTTGGCCTATGTCCCATGTGCTAACATGGAGGCAGTGGGCTTCATGACCTATACTGCAGTCAGCCACTAGAGGGCGATTGAGATGTTTTAGCTTCACTTCTGCAGAGCTGTCATGTCTCCATCTTTATATGTGCCCATGGTGACTCTATGAACAGTCACTGTGCCTTCCTGACACTTTAGCTTCAGGAAGTTGGTGGGTGAATTTTGTAAAGAATCACCTGGCTCTTTACACCTGCTTAACATATTTATGCTATGCTAGGCTAACCACATCTCTCCAGCTCTGTACTGATATGAAGTCGATCTTTCCATCTCACTCTGGGACAGAATCATTGATTTTCCAATCAAAAAGTACTTAGGTTAACGGCCCAAAGTATAAATACAACTTCCTTTATATCTTCAATTCACACAGAATCCAATTTCAAATAAGTTTTAGATTTGTATGTGGAAGTGAATTTTTAGGCGTTTGCAAGCAAATGTATTTATTTCAGTTTTTAATCATTATTATGTGAAATTACAATTTTACTGTTCTTGTGTAAATACATATTCAAAATCTCAATTATATTTGCATGGACACTGGAGTGTACTAGCTTGATTGTTCACACATTTACAGTGGTAATGATGATTACTTAAAGCCACATTTAAAAAGTAAAAATTCGAGTAAGTGATGCAATTAAAAAATATTCATAAAGTTAAATATACAATTGAGTCTTCCTATAGTATTATATTCCATTTTGTAGCTCTCGGTGCACTTTACATTGTGGATTTCAGGTTAAGCAATGCGGCTAGTGTGCCACCCTAGAAATATTGTGGTTAAATTCACACTGCAGTAACAGGAGCTCCGATTGACTGTCATTTTCAGAGTTCCTGTGTCTAAAGTCACTCATCTGTGGATTTAGTTTATGGTGTTGCACATAGCTGCATTGCTTTTAAACTAGAGTGCAAAAGAAACACAGTATAGGCACTAAGGCAGGAGACCATTCATTTTATGAGCTTTTTAAAAAGCAAGTTAACACAGGTGCAACAAAGCACAATCTAACCACATTCATCAGTGATGCAGGCTGATGTCAGAGGTGAATTCTACATACATTTGAACCTCCAACTAACACTCAATTAATTCAACCTCTTACCAGAGATTTCTTGTTTCACCTCAGTGCAGTATGCTGTGTAACTTCAACAAGAGATTAGTTAATTGTGATTTGACTGGTTAGCAATACTTGCGCATTTTCATTCATTTTATCATTTCTGAGGGGAATTTGGAAGCTGAGGTTTGGTAAATGCTTATCTTCCAAATGTCACTGCAGTGAAACAGAGTAGTGACACAGTATTTGTATTCAATTGTTTAAAAAGTATTCAGTCATAATTTCTACATTGTGTACTTGAGCAGTAATGACAACTCAACACAATCCAAAACAACTTGAAGAATTATTATACGCAGGAAAACCTACAGTACCGCCAAATATAATAGGTCCAGTGTGTATCATTTAGGAGCACCTATTGGCAGAAATGATATATATGGTTCAAACGGTATGTTTTCATTAGCGCAGGGGTCAGCAACCTTTTCCATCAAAAGAGCCAAAAGAGAAAATTAGCCTTATTGCTCATTTCTTGACACAGATCAAGCATAGTGGTAAGCCAGCAGCGTTTATTGTGGAAGCAATCAAATGTCCACATACTATTCTGCCCTACAAAGCCAAACCGCTGTAACAATGATTGTGTTTAAAATGAGTTCAATCTTTACAATCTTAAACCGTAAATTGTTACAATGCATTTTAAGTCATAATTTATGTAACTTCAACTTGTAATCTATACAAAAAACATTACAACAATTTTAACATTTAATAACAGATTTGATTGATATTTACAAATCTAATTCTAAAACCAAGTGTACATACATTTTACAGTTAAGTAAACAAGTCAAGTCATCTTAATAGGTTAAACACCTCAAATTAACATTTGAGGATTGCTTGAATTGCTTCTTAATTACTCATCTGTTTTAACTTTCTAAACATGCAAACAGTAAGAAATACAGATTTAAGGTATTAAGGGAAAAAAAGGAGGACGACACCAAAACTGTCTTTGTATTACCATAAACAGAAGGCAGAGTACAGTAATTACAGAGTGCACTAGCTGCATTTTTGGGGTCATAGGTCCAATAATTGGTCTCAGTTTTAAAGTCATGAAAATGACTTAAAGAATGAAGAATTTCAAATGAATAAAGTGGTAAATTGGGTTAACCTTTTGAAACATCTGTGCTTATCAGGCTTTCGATTCTCTCCGAGTGATAAAAAGGTACGGCTAGTTCTCTATCAACATCCGCATAGTGTTGGCATTTTATCATTGTTGTATTGTCTGAGTACTATACAACATATCTACTCATTATATGATCCCCCACAGGTCAGGTAACAGCTAGGTTAAAACTAAAATAAAGTGCATTTGATATGTGTCTTAAAAGCCCTGAAGTACAGCAGTGGCTTATCTCAGTTTGTATGAAACATTGATACTTTCTTATTCTGTTTTACTTCTACTCATACATTGAAGTTGTGGATAAATCCTAGCGGCACTGTAAAGCAGGTGTGATGGAACAGTGTTATTTTGTTAAAAATAAATAATTACAACATTTTCTGTTAGCTGGGAAGTCATCATTGGAAGCTGTTTGGAAAAGGGCAGGCACTTTCAAAAAATACTTGGCAGGTGATTGGATGAACCATCCGTCTATCACAGGAAACTTCAACCAGTCAGATCAATGAACCATATAAGGTAGTGAGACTCTTACTGAAGCCAGTCATGAGAAGAGTGAAAACATCCCTAACCCTAACTCCACTCCACCTTAAAGAAAAATATTTTTTTAGGAGCCCTTCACTCATTTTACACATAAATGTCTGGTCACAGGGGCTACTACTCAGACTGTGAACAGTTTTATGTTTTCTGTGCTGTGGTTCTGGCAGACCTGTTTTTTTTTTGTCAGGTCTGAGAAAATAACCTTTTAGAAATATAATATGTGTCGTTTTTTTGGATACATACAGTCTATCAATGATGAATGTATATTGGTTAATAAATACATGCATAGTGATGTTAATTGTACAAACACTTTCACTTTCTATTTCGGTTAGCAGAAGAATTTTCTGTAAAATAAAATAAATTGTTAAGGTTAATGGAAAACTGTAGTCAGATGCTGACCATCGTTGTGAGCAAGTGCTGTCCTTTAAACTAAAACTCCTGGAAGATGTCATGGAAAAGTCCTGGAAAATTATTTCTTAAAAGGAGTGGGAAATCTTTTTAGAAATTCAATTCAGTTACATTTTATTTGTATAGCACCAATTCATAACAGAAGTTATCTCAGGACACTTTTCAAATAGAGACAGACGGACTACACTAATAGTAGTGACTGATGATGAACATGAACAAGAGGATGGTGACGACAACAACGATGGGGGACAATGAGCAGTGACCACAGCAATAACAGTAACTGTAGTAACAATAATAGTAATAATTAAAGCAGCATTGGGCGGGACCTCGCCATCAACCTACGTCGCCCGCCGCAGCCCCGCAACTCCACGTCACCCCACGTCACCCCACGTCACCCCACTCTCAAACCCTCATCCCCAGAAGCTGCAGGAGACCACTCTACGTTGTCACGTGTTTCAGACACTGTGTAAAAGACTTACGCTTTCATAGCGAGATTCTTCACTGCAAAACGTGGAAATTCAGCACCACGCCACGGACAAGCTGTTTGACGCACAGTAAATATATGATTAATTTTTGATCACCAATGTGTCTAGATTGCAGTGATCGAATTTGAAGTCAATCCGAAAAAATCTGTAGGAGTTAGTTCAAATTGAAGCTCTGAAATGCCGGAAATGGCATCACAGCTTGACATTCGTTTCAAGCGGGCCAACTTTGACGGCACGCCACAGACACGCCCTTCAAAATACAGTCACAAATAGCACAACTTTTAATCAGCAACATTTTTTGATTGTACTGTCCAATTTTGAAGTACATTTGATAAGTCCCCTTGACTTCCAGCGGTTTACTATAATACTCCAGGAACAATACTCCGTAGGAAATATGGTTTGTAGATGTGGCTAGTGGGATTGGAGGGGTGTTTGTGTTTTATCACTTTGGAAAAAAAAAATGTACATTGTATGAACATTTCTGTATTTGTGATTTAAAATTCAATAAAAATGTCTGAGAGAAAAAGATAAGTCCCCTATGAGGAGTTCGTTCAAATACAAAATGGCCACCGAGAGTGAAAATGAAAATCCCCCTGTCCAATTGGCCGTTTGATGTTTGCTGTTACATAATACCAAAGGCTGAGTGAATGAGGGAAAGTGGAACTACTAATCAAACAACCATAGTGATTAATAAATAAAATATGAAAAGCTTGGATACGTTATTTTTGTTGTCTTTGGGGACTACTTTCAGGCATTAGACTTCTAACTTGCGGGTGTTTCTTCAACTACGATAACTTTTGACTCTCCCAATTTATAAACACCAACCTCTACAAATTTTAAATGTAGCCATCAGTCTTTAACACATGTAAAAAAAAGTACCCAAAGTCCATACAGTTGTTCAAGATTTTCACCTGGTCTGTATACCTAAAGTAGATGCTGTAAATACATTCTGCTGAAATTACATTTTTGCTCTAATTGCAGATAAGTGGCAGCTAGCAAGCTAGTCTGCTGTGTTAGCTTTTACTCTTATATACAATATACAATAATTCAACTTAAATAAAAGCCTAGTGTGTAACATTTAAGAGGATATTTTGTCAGAAATGAAATATAATCTGAATAATCATAATATTGCTACCTTAGAATTAGTTGTTTTTATCTACAGAAGAAGTGGTTTCTATGGAGACTGCCGTGCTGAACCACCATGTTTCTAGAGTAGCCAAGAATGGACAAACCAAACACTGGAAGCCAATTTGACATAATGGCTATACTGTGTTACAGCAATGGCATTGCACATTGGCCCAAAAATACTTTTAAATACTTTTTAAATAAATAATATAATCCACATGTATGTATAAATTTATAAATAATTGTATCCACATTCAAGTTAGCAGAGGGCTAAACAAGACGCGATCTTGAGTCTTGAGTGTGCATGCTCCAGATCGCTGTGGCACATTCACCCAGGTAATTATTTTATAGCTGCAAGTGGCTTTTTTGGCTTCATGCGCCACTGAGCAGCTTTCATAGGAGTAAACAAATTAAATATCAGTTTCTTTATACATCTGAAGTGAAGGAGGAGTTCCAATCTGCAACTACACTTAGAAGCCACAAAATCCTACACACTTGAATAAAATATAGTTCAAATTACAAAATGACTAAGCCGTGAAGTAAGGATACACAATAAATACTTAAGAAGAAACAATAATTTTGACCCTACTTTTCTTGATCTTGAGGGTCACCTAGAGTGGAAGGCCCAACCTGTCATCCATGTGCTCGTTTGCTAACGTCTCCAAACTAGATTTCTTTGGTTTTGAAAAATATTTTTTGTTCAGTGTTGCGGTAGGGACTCAGGAGAGAGCGACGAGCTAATTTGGATGAAAAAAAATCGTCTAAATTATCAAAAGAAAAAAATTGTTAAGTTTTAATATAAAACTATTTCATTTGAAATAATGTCATACTCTAGGTCATTTTACGTATCACCACATTGAGAGTAGATTAAGATAAAACAAGATAGACTTTATTGATCCCACACTGGGGAATGTCCCTCGCTACAGCAGCTTCAGATACAACACAACAGATAAGAAAATACACATTAATAAAAAAATAGAATAGAAAAATCCAAGATATAATGAAAATAGAATTAGACAATAAGAGTTAAATATACAGCTTTTTATACAAATGTGATTGATATGGAATATTGCCCAGGTTACAGCAGGAGGTAGTGGCATAGTATTAAAATAAATAATTGGGCAGAGGACAAAAGATGTATACACGGCAGTATAGATTAGTGGAAGAAATAGGCTATAGACAGGGCTATGAATATACAGTACACTCTAATTCTAGTAATGTGCATGTAGGGAAGTATTTAAATATATGTATGTGAAATTGTACAGTACAAGTAGTGCAAATAGTATATTAAGTAGTGCAGAAAGTGACTGTGATTATTGTTGAAAGATGTTACAGAGACAGAGTGCTACATTATGTGGTTGTTGATTTAAAGCTGTTGGGATGAAGGACCTGCGGTAGCACTCCTTGCCCTGAGTGTGCAGTAGTCTGTTGCTGAAGGAGCTGCTCAGGGACCCCACTGTCTCATGCAGGGGGTGAGAGGTGTTGTCCATGATTGACGTCAGCTTGGCTAACATCCTCCTCTCACCCACCTCTGTGGAGTCTAGAGGGCAGTCCAGGACAGAACTAGCCCTCCTGACCAGGTTGTTCGAGTCCTTTCCCTCTCTGTTCTTCCAGCTCTCCAACACACTACTGCATAGAGAATTGTAGATGCCACAGAAACACTTTATTAGTGCACACACCAAAGAACCTCCTCAGCAGGTGAACTTTTGCCCTTCTTGTACAGGACATATGTTGTTTTTTTATGTTAAGATACTGTATATACTTATCAGGAATTGTGTCAACAATTTTAACTTCAGTCCGAAATTTCACTGTTGGGGCTTCAAAACGCCCATAGTTGCAGAAACACCCACAAATAGTTTAATTTACTCGTTGTTCATGGCGGGAATGAGCTTCCATATAAAACCGGCCAACAAACTGCTCGCGCGCACATACACACCCGCTCACACCTGTGCAGCTCCTCCCTCGGCGAGCGCGCGCCATCCAATGAGAGACGAGTTCTAACTGTGCGTTGGCTTTTGCCGTCTCAAATACGGATACATACACACAAATACACACCCAGTCTGTTCTCCACACGCAGAGACGACACGAGCATCTCCGCGTGAAAGCTAACCATGTCTGAAGGAGGAGAAGGCGAGGATGAAATCCAGTTCCTGCGAACTGTAAGTCATTTTATGTCGCTCTGAAGCCAAGCATCGGCGCGGTGCTGACGATTACTGCGTCTTTCTGCTCGGCTCTGTGTGTGTGTGTGTGTGTGTGTGTGTGTGTATATATGTATGTGTGTGTGTGCAGGGAGTTTACCGCATTGAGGTTGACAGCTCTAGATACTAGTAATTGGTCAGTGAGTCCGCAGAAAGGGTGAAAGCGGTGTGAAAACATGACAGACAAAAATAAAGAAGACGAGAAATAGATGAAGGCGTTTGCTGTAGCTGTCATTGTCTCGTAAAGAGGACCTGAGCAGCAGGCGGACTGTGTGTAATCGCCGGTGTTGTGTGTTGGGTGGAAGCGGGGCGCAGTGCGGTGCAGACTAGAAGCATGAAGCCTGCTGCATCTGCTTCACCTCACTTCAATTAGCTTCTACACTGAAGCAATGCCACTGTGCCCCGTGTCTGTCTGTGTGGGCTCTTTTAATGTTTGTCACATAATGAAGTCGAATCAGCTTTTACTGGACATGAGAGGAGCTGTTGTTTTACAAAAGTCACGCGTGAATAATTACACGAGTATTTCTTTCTTTTTTTCTTTTTTTTAGGGGAAATGGGCAGGCACATGCAGTCTTTACACTAAAAATGTCTGTATGTAAGTGAATATGTAGTTAGTTAATATGTCATTTTCACTGAAAGTAGCCTCTTTCTGCCAGAGATGATTCGATGGTTGCCAATGCAGTTCCCCTTCTCTGAAATTCCTTTCTGAAATTATCAGCATCTGTATCTTGACAGGAAAAGGAAGGTTACTGCAATGCTACTAAGATGCCATGACTTGATTCTAGACAATAACTTGGAAAACCTTGGAAGACAAAACTATTTAGAGCCCGACTGTTATGGGATTATTAAGAGGGATGCAGATTTTTCAGCAGAAATGTTGGTAGCCAATATAGTGAATTTTTAGCTGGAATGAAAATGGACCTTTTTCTATGTGGATTGTGCACCGATATGACTCTGCAAAGGTATCAGAAGGCAGCTTTCTGAAACAAATAACTTTTAAAAAAGATATTTCAGTTGAATATTTTTTACCATGTTAAATAATTTGTCATATACATTGTAAACCCATTATAGTTGAAATTGCTGAGAGCTGCCTCTTCTCTCTGTGCTGTTTGCCACAGTTTTGTGAATTGCAGCACAATCTGCTGGATAGATTTAGCAGTGACACCAATATATTACCACAAGAATGTGTTCTAAATTATATAAAAAGTCTTCATATTGGCACATGTTGGATAATATATACAGCAATACCAGTATGTCTGTGATAGCCCCATTTCTGCTGACCGTTATGTCAGGTTCTACGACGTACGGTGTTAGAGTGGTCTAACTGTATTGGTTTAATCTATCAATGGTTATCAAAAATATATAATTATCAAAAGATAATAGAAAATGACTTTAATATTAAAGTTCCTCAGGGCACCACCCTTAAATAAGGGAACGATAACCAATAATCGATTGATCAGTCTCATAAACATTACTTTAAACTATTCATTCAGAAATCAGATTAATAATTATAATAAAGGTGCGTGCGTGCGTGCGTGCGTGCGTGCGTGCGTGCATGGGGATCATAAAAGGGCTTATGTCCTGTGTCCCCCGACCAGATGTTTCAGGGTGTGGAACACGTGCTGGTGAGAGGCAAAGAGAATCAGAGGCGGGAGGATTTGAATCCCTCTCCTCGTGCTTAGACCGACTATGTGTATGTGTGATTTTTAGATTAACGGTGCTCTAAAAAGGTAGTTAGTGTATTCAAAGACGATGTCTGTGTGAAGCATTAACCTAACATCACCAAAGCACTGTCTCAAAGACTGCAGTTACTACAGTGACCTCAGTTAATCAAATCAACATCACAATACCACAGTAACCTGAATAAAACACATCAGCAACATTAACAATGATTAAACAGTCCTCGATAGCTGTTAACTCTGTTAAGTTGTCTGTCTATACCCAGTATGTTACCAACAGTCCAATGGAGATGAAAAAGAGTTCGGTCGAGTGCTGCGTGGGTCAGCCAGTGGTCCTATGAGCCAGGCTGATCAGAATTGAGGTTCTGAAGTCCAAACTGTCTCTGCTGTGCGATGTCCGCTGGTGCAGGTATCGCAGGGAAAAGCAGGCCTTTGTGCCGTGCTATAATCCTATTGTTGGGCGTCGTCGGTGGGTCAGGCTGCACCGAGGTCCTGAACTTATCACCCAGTGTGGGTGTGAGTGAGTTGAAGGGAGAACCGAAGAGAGAGAGAGAAGATCATCTCTCTGGTTTAAATAGCCTTGATGACAGGTCTGGTGTCAGAGCGAATCTTGACCAATCACCCGCCGGTGTTTGGTCGTTTTTATGGCTTTTAAAACACACCCCGCATTCCGTGACCCCCACTTGAGGTCTCTTATCTGGCGGGCATGTTCCCTTTGTCTAAAAGACTACCACAATCAGGCTTTCACTGGTACATACAGGCCTCAGGAGAATTCCTGAGAACATGGCCATATTCCAACATGTTCCTTTGTGTTTCAGTTAAACACTTCAAATGAACAAATTAAGTTCATATTTAAAGGTATCCTGGATCCCAACAGTTATATTGGTAGTTATTTGACCACTTATATTAGTAATTGTGTAATGTGAAAGGAGGCCTTGGTAGTGACAAACTAGAATTTTCACCAACTCTGAAGTTCCTCTCAACTATTCAGAATCAGAAATACTTTAATAATCCCAGGGGTAGGGCTGGGTATTGTTAAGAACCTCACGATTGATTCAATTTTGATTCTTTAGGTCACACTTCGATTTCGATTTGATATTGATTTAAATGCTTCGATATCGATTCAGTGCCGACTTCAACGACTCCAAAACCGCTGTCCTTACCTCTGTACAGCTTCGGGACAGTGATTTCCGTCATGTGTTTGCGTGTTGGTATGGTGTATCGTGGTTCGAGTGTGCATACCATCTTCTTAAAACACCCGTTTTCCACGACACTGTACGGTCGTAGGTCCTTACATATGAAGACAGCCACAGACTCCGCTATCTTCTGTGTGCGTGCGAAGTTTGGCGGCAGTTTGCAAAGGAAGGATCTGTTGAGTTCTGTTTGGAATCCACAGGTTTAGCCGCAGGTTGCTGCAGAGCATTTGTGTTGTGTTGTGTTGTGTTATTGCAGTATTTTAGTACTGCCTGGTACACTACCTCACTTTTGTCTATTACCTGTGTTCCGGGTTTACACTGGACTCCAAACGTCTGCTTTAAAGTTGAAGGTGCTGGTTTAACACTGCTGCTACCTGCTACCTCAGTTGCCATGTTGTTGTTGTTGTGTGGTCACACAAAGGTGTTGCTCACCGCGCCCCCACTGGCCAGGCACTTGAATCGATTCAGAGGATTTAATGAATCGATATTGAATTGAGAAAAAATATATTGCAATGCATTGATGAATCGATATTTTTACCCACCCCTACCCAGGGGTAAATTATTTTTGTTACAAACTCCAGATATACAAACAACATATATTAAGAACAAAATATATATATATATATATTCAGAGCTTTCAGCTCATTGTTTTGGTTTTATGCCCAAAACTTTACAGTTTTTATATATTTATTATATATATATTTTATATTATATTCGGAACAACTGATAAACTGTAAAATTAACCCAAATTAACACAATAACTGCAGGAAGTTTGTATAAAACAAGTGATAACACATTCATACACTGATGGCAGTGGCTGCCATGCAAGGTGCCAACTGCTCACCATAACGGAAACTAATCATTCGCACACACTCATACAACGATGCACAGCATCGGGAGCAATTTGGGGTTCAGTGTCTTGCTCAAGGACACTTTGACATGCAGCGACAGGAGCCGGGGCTGGAACCGCCAACTTTCCGATTAGTGGACTCTAGGGATGCACTGATCCACATTTTTTCACTTCCGATCCCGATACCTGAATTTGGATATCGGCCAATACCGATACTATTCCGATACCAGAGCTCTGTTTGCTTTAATATTATTATTATCATTATTGTTGATTTTATATGAGGCTGAAATAAACTCCTCAACAGCCAAGTATGATATGTACGTATGTATGCATGTATGTCCCAAAAGGTCAGAAAAGGAAGTCAGAAAAACAGGAAATCCTGTTAACAGGAAAAGTCCCATTCTGAAAACAAATATGCAACTGTAAGGGTTTCAAATTGATTGTCATGTCAATATTTATTAAATTCCCAAAATGTCAAATAATTGAAATATAAGAAAAGTGCAATAAATGTAAACATCTTAGACACACACACACACACACACACACGTGCTAATCCCTTTAGCTTTCACGTTGTCTGCCTGGAGTTTACCTTGTTTTTGGAATGACTCCAGAAGTGATTCCTGACAGCTCCTTTTGTCTTTCTGCCCCTGCTCTTCTTCTTCTTCATATGGATTTCCGGCAGTTTAGACGCTTCTAGGCGTATTACTGCCCTTCTCAGGAAGTCACTCTAAGGATAATGTTACTGCTTCAAATGTTCATATATAGCCCTGTATCGTGTAAGAACTGTAATACAACTTTAACAATCAAGTGGTGGTTCTCATTTTGACCCAATAATTCTCGTGCTCTTTTGTGTGGTGCTTTTTTAAATGTTTGATTGCGTTCGTAGTGTTGTACGATGCGAGGGAGCTTCCGCCTCTCTGAATCACAGCTTTGCTAGCTGGCTGCAAACTGCGGAATGGATTTCCTGAGCGGGGGCGTGTCTCATAACTCTGTGTCTCATTGAGCCGCGCCTCTGTTCAGGAAATCCATTCCACAGTTTGCAGCCAGCTAGCAGACTGGCCGGCAGGAATCACACCTGTGGAGTCATTTCAGCAGACAAGGTAGAGCGCAGACATGGCTCATGGAAATCTGATATCTCCGCAGGTTGGATCGGGAAAATCCGATACGTGAATTATGCTGGTATCGGTCCCGATACTGATACTGGATCAGATCGGCCCCATCCCTAGTGGACTCTCT